CCCCAAACCCAGATCCCAGTTCATTTGCAGCCACATCACTCACACCGTATCCTCGTGTGCGACAGCCCAGAAACGGCTGAGAAACGCATCGGGATTTTTGTTTTGAGCTAAAAGCATCGTTTTTACGAGCTCCTCGGAGAAAACACATCCCTTTCTAAATGCCTGGAAAACTCCCAGCAAACTGGGAGCGTTCCCCTATTCCAGCAAACAATGATAATGCTCGATGCTATAAACATCCGCCCTATTATTTCGTTATTAAGCATCCCTCCATTTGCTGCTATCACTGGTTTATTAGCATTTGCCATGGTTTGCATTACAGCCTGCCTCGGGGCTCCATCAGGCTCCCCCAGCGCACCGTGAAGAAAAAAAATATATGTAAATAACTGAAAATAAAGCAAGTCTGCCCTCAGGAATTTAGAGAGTTTGATCATTTATAGTTGGGTCTATGGAGATTGGCCATCGGAAGCAGAGCACGTCTCTCCACGAAGGGGAGAAATTACGGCAACAGTTTGATACCCCGAAGTCTTTGGGGTAACATTTTTGGGAAGTTTAGTGTGGATGGTGATGAAGAGAGTGATGGCTCAGCACGACGAAGCTCTTCAACATCACACTCCCATTGAAAAATGGATTTTTTTTTTTCCGTATTTTTCACACTCTCCTGAAGAGCTGCCCTGACTTTTACCGGCACATCCGCTGGAGAGGGAGCTGGAGTCCTCCACAAAAGCATCGTCCCAGCTACTTCCCAACACACCAACCAGCATGAGAGGCTGCGAGGTTTCCCACCACCTGCCTTGACCCTCGCCAACATCAAGTCCTGCCCAAAATTGCTCAATAAAAAGCCACAGCCAGGATTTCTCTAGCTCTGGGTGTACACACGCTGCCCGTGGGCTCGGGGCATCATCCTGCTCCAGGGAGGGATGCTGTAGAAAATGCTACATCCATACAGAAGTCCTGGAGGGTGAGACACCGGAGCAGTAACTCCCCAAAATTAAAAGCTGCTGAAACCAAGGAGGTCCAGGTGAAGGTGGGTATGGGAGATTCACACCATGGAAACACCCAAATTTATCAATAACGGCCCCACACTTGGTTCTCCCAAGGTGTGGCAGGAGGACTCAATCTCACATCGCCTGGACGTGGCACCCAATTTCTGGTGTGGCTTTTGTCCTTGACATGTGAACGCTTTTAAGATGATGAAACCATGTCATCTGTACTTTTTCCTTCTGAGCTCCAGCAGTTTTGTTAGGAGCTTGGGAAGAAAAACGTTTCGGGTTTTTTTTTCTTCATTCAGGAAGAACTGAAACATTTCAGCAAAATTGAATTAAAAAAAAAAACAACAAAAAAAACCCAAAACAACGCAGCTCCCGGCCAGCTTTCGGATCTCAGCCTTGTCCCGGTGCCAAGTTCATGAACATAGAGGGGAGGTGGGCTGGGGATCTTTTGTTTTGCTTTGTTTTGTTTTGACATAGCTAAAGGTTTTCCTGTAATCAACCGACCTCTAAAGAAAAACAGCAAGTTTCGCACACACTGAGCTATCTCACCCGCCGGGACACCTCCCATCTGATCCAGTCAAGAGCTGTCTAAATTGTCACTGATATCTGCGATAACAACAATTCAAAAATGCAAATACAACTGCCCTCCTGATTAGGTTTTTAAATGCCTGTAATTGGATCTTTCTTCCATGATATCAGGATTAGGCGCAAATTAAATTATCCAACTGTAGAAGTGTTTCAAACTACGTATTTATACTTTTACATATATATTTACAGGGTTTTTTTAAGAACAGCTTTGACCCAAAGCATCTTCTCATGCTCTTCCTAAACTTGTCACCATCAACCCCCTTCCTCTCCCCCATTCCTCTGCGATCCCTGGGGCTGGATTTCTCATTAAACATCAACCCTGACGCAATACTCGCCATGGTATCATCTACCCAGAAGTGCTAACAAAAGCCTCCTCATTTTTGTAGAATCGTACGATCGTTTGGGTTGGAAATGACCTTTTAAAGGTCATCTAGTCCTGCAATGAGCAGGGACATCTTCAACTAGATCAAGTTGCTCAGGCCCAAGAAAAATCCTTTCTGCATCACTTGCGCAGGCGACACTGCACGCACGACCGATAACCCAACAAAAATGGGTAACAGCTAAATTAGCATAGATGTCCACCAAGAAATCATAGCAC